TACAGGCATCCCTGCACAAAGTCCGCCCGTTCCCACAGAGCATCCATGTCCCAGCCATGTTAACATCCATGCACAAAGTCCGTCCGTTCCCACAAAGCACCCATGTCCCAACCATGTTAACGTCCACACAAAGTCTGTCCGGTCCCACACAGCATCCATGTCCCAACCATGTTAACGTCCACACAAAGTCCGTCCGTTCCCACAGAGCATCCATGTCCCAACGATGTTAACGTCCACACAAAGTCCGTCCGTTCCCACAAAGCATCCATGTCCCAACCTTGTTAACGTCCACACAAAGTCCATCAGTTTCTTGGGCGCTTGAAGTTGCACAGATTTGGACTTCCCGATCGATTAGGTTTTTAAGGCCCCAAAACTAGCTTATGCTCAAAAGTCCCACGCCTGCCACGTGAGACAAACCTTAAAGCAGCCCAAACTACCAGTGAAGAAAAACCTTATAGTAGGGTTCTACAAGGGCTACTATAAGGTTTGCACACGGGTTCTATATGGGTATCATAAGGGTTTAGAGTTTAGGGCTTCAGGCTCCACGTACCTATGTCATATACTCAGGCTTTAGAGGGACTCCCATATAAGAACCCTTTAAGGCCTAGATAGAAACTATACAAGTACATGGAGCCTTGGATACCACGATTACTTGACGACGTGAAGCGGCTCGCGTGGCAGGGCATCTTTGCTCGAGGCTAGGATTCAAGCAGGAAGCAGTCATTCCCAAGATCGAAAATGTGCTATGACAATTAATGTAGGCGACAAGCGCGGGAAGTATCAAACTCAGCATGGGAAGCTTGTCGAATCAAAGAACTACGCACTCCGTAGCTGACCCTGGATATGCAAGGACCCTGTACCTGCAAATGCCCCGCATCTGAGCCAGCAACTTTCATCTCAGGTTCTCCGTCATCTCTGCACTAAGCATGCACTGCGAATTTCAAGTGCAAACTGCTCCAACGAATTATTTGTTAAAAGCTATGGAAGCCTGCTTCGAACCCCACCTGTTGAATTGCGGATCAGTCGCGCTCAACAGGTAGGGGGCCTGCTGAAGTCGGTCGGCTTGCTTGATCAGACCTAGTCTATGTACCAGCCGGTCGTAGGCAAAAGTGAGGGTTTTAGCCTTGCGCGACAGGAAGCTTGCCACGTCCTCTCTGGAGAAGTAGCGCCGAAGAAGCTTTAGCTTCAGATCCACGTTCTTCACGCCGAGGGTTAGGACCGAAGGACTCTGTGCGATCACCTCGGCTCTGTGCAGAACCGACACAACTCTAATTCTCTACATTAATTATGGTCCCTTTCAGAGTTCCTCAACGGGATCTAGAAGGGTTTGAACAAGGGTGCATAAGGTTTTAGCTCTGTGCATTGCTGCAGGCTGTAATGACAGTCGCAAGCATCGTGGCCAGTTTTAAAGGCGGAAGGTAGGAGTTGCCCGTACTCGAGCTGGTAGTAGTGTCAGTCGAAACACTGCTACAAGTAGAAGCAGAGATCTATATTGAGAGTCCAGGAACGCGAACGGCTTGGGTCCGGTTGCAGCCAGCCTTGCAGATGCATCGTACAGTCTCGTCAAGCCGCTCATCCCGGAGGCCTGGTCCAAAAAAATTAGGCTCCCATTGTCGGACGCAGCCCTAGACTCAAGGCCACTTGGTGTGGGTAAGGATCCAAAGGCTAAAAATAGGCAAGTAATCATGTGTTACACCACCCATCCCAAGTCCTAAACCAGAAAACCGTGTAGCATTGGTAGCCGGAGGGCTCCAACGGGCAGTGGTATAAGGTGTAAGGCGTTAGTTGCGCGACAGGAACACCCGGGTAGGTATAGTGCTTAAGGGTTACTTAAGCCTGCAAGTCTCGCAGAATGATGCATAAGATTCCGTGGGTTGGCGTTAAAGTGGCTTTAGGGCTTTGAGTTTCTGTGCCTCTTTGGATGTAGATGTATCAGGGATATTATATACTGAGCAGCTGTGTATTTATTATGCATTTGGGGTATGGTTTACGGACAAGACAGTGATGGAAAAGCTACACGGACAATGTGACCGACATTGATCGACTTGCTCTGTGCCTTGCACCACAACTCGACTGTCCCAGCGTCCATCAAGCCTCAAACTGCCTGACACTCCATAAACATCCTGCACATATCAATTCCAAGCCCTACAAACATGAGTATGTAAGCCGTTATCACAACATGGCTCGCAAACAGACCTACCCTGCAGACTTCTCAGAAGATCCTGTTCGAGATCCTGGACAAGGTTGGGCTGTTAGCAAACTCTGACACTGATAAGCCCCCAACCGCAATTTTGCGCCCTACAGTAGAGCCGAGAACTCCAAACTTTGGTTCAGGGCGCGTCGTTTTATCTTGCCCGGTTTTGTGAAAACGAGCACTAAGCAAGCTAGGCGGAAGCTTGTGGGACACCCCAAGCACAAATGACAAAACTCCATGACATCTTGCGGGCTGCAACAGCTGGTTGCAGTCCATATGTCTTGCTTTGCACCCTGCACAGTCCTGCCCGCAATTTAGCTTTACTCGTGTCTCCACGCGGAGTTGTTTGATGAACCATCGAACCTCCGGGGCAAAAAGGCACTCCAACGAAGTGCTATTTCGGAAGCTGGCAAACAGGTTCTTTTCCTGAAGCCCACAGCCCTAATCTTAGCAGTATGTATAACAACACGATGCAACTGCGTGCAGGATCCCCAGTGTGACCTAGGCCGTGAAACCCTGAACGATTATCTCAGAATCGTCGGGACGAACGTCCAGCAAACCCTAAACAGATCCGGCTCTCGATCCCTGTTGTTCGGAACCATCAACCACCCTATAGACCCAGGAACCCTCGACTCCTTAAACCCCGAACCCTGGACCCAACATCCACATCCCGAACCCGATACCCTTTTTACACAGGCTTGATACGGACATTGGCCGGGCGAGCTCCAAACCGATACCCGAAACATATAATTCCTGAGCCGGAGAAACTATCATTCCCTGACAGAAAGAAGAAACCGCCGAACATTCCTTCAACATCATTAACTTTCAAACCAACAAACACCTAAACCCGAAAAGCCTGAAGCCAAAAACACCAGTCTCTGCCTAGGGCGGAGGGAGCAGCTCGAATCAGTCGGACCGTCTCATCATCATCGAGGCCTTGGATTTCCGCTGTGGGTTTTGCGGCTTATGTAAGGGCTCCTTCGAATGTTGCCATGAGGATTCCTCTGAGGGTTTCTTCAAGGATTCCGTGATGGCTTCTGTCGCGGTTCTTCGCCTAAAGGTTGTAGAGTGAGGGGTCAAGGGTTCTTGACCTATGATGCATGAAAGGGCTTTGGTACGGTGTTGCTACGCTTTGACGTGTTTCTTCTGGGAAGTCTACTCGGTCTTGGAGCCAGTGTTTGGAACTTGCCAGGGGCAGGGATTCGGATTGCTTCGTTCATATTTGTTTGAGCGACAGCGAAGACAGTAAACCTGCCCGTTTATCTGCAAGTGCGTTCAACAAGGGCCACATTGGTTTTTTCAAACAAGGTGCCAGGTTCGCCCGTCTAGCATTCTTAGGACTGCTTCAGCGTTTTTGACAGTCGTCTGGTGCTAGGCTTGAGTACGAACTAACATCCTCGAACCGCAAGCCGCTTCGGACCGGCAAACATAGCTGTTGCTGTCCGACATGCTGGGCTGGCTGCACGCCGCTATCAGAATACAGAATTCTGGCATTATCCGGGACTGTTCCGACCTGTTCTGTACGACTATCATGTCATACCCCAAACCCCAGGCCCTAAACCTATCACTACTCAGCACCCGCAACGAGCTTTGCTCTTTCTCGGTCTACAGATCCGAGGAGCCCCTAAACTCTATCGACCCTTTTGGGGTTAGGGGCTTAGGGTTCTTGTGTCCCGGTTTAGGGCTTCGGTTTACATCCGAGGCACCTACTTCCTGACACCAGTCCACGAAAGATTGGATCCTCTGGGAGCTGATTCCCAGAATGCGGGGATAGCCAGCCACGAGCTTTCCCACGTCCTCGGGGCTCATGCCCAGCTCTGCAAAGGTTGCCTTGGGTCTGCTTTCTGAGTGGAGGCGTGGCGTGGGGCTCATATGTTTTGCATGTAGTTTCTGTGCAGTATAATGACACACTTTCCCTTGTCGTGTTTTAGATGCAGCCTACCATGGTGGCAACTGAACGGGAATTTCGGAATGGTTCGCCGAAGCTGAACCCAACACGGAACCCTGCACCTGAAGCACCTAAGACTCCTTCAGCAAATACCCATACGCCCTAAAGTAGTTCCTTTTTGGGGTTACCTTGTAGGGTTCTATATATATGAAACCCAAAAAGGAACTACTTTAGAGCCTATGCGTAATCACTACAACCATGTGGCTGGTAATCAACAAGGGGACCCTATGCATGATCCAAGGCTCGATTTTGGGCGGCAAGGTGACCTTGGCTTCCCAGGTCAACGTGCAACAGTCTCGGGTCTTACGAATATTTCCTCGTAGCAGCCCTCCAAAAAACTTTAATGACATCAGAGAGCCCAATATAATAGTTACGTAAGGTCTCTACAGGTGGGGCTTCAATTGTCAAACCCAGGAAAAGGCATAATCAAGGTGATTTACAACGTCAGCTCTAGAGTTGGTTTAGGGTTTAGGGTTTAGGGTTTAGGGGTTTATAGGTTTTACCGCCATACCCCGCAATGAACCACACAGACGTGTTCAGTTCACCCTAAGGGTCCATGTACCCNNAAAGTACCCAAATAGGGACTACATTAGGGCCAATGTTCTACCATTTTGGTACATGGACCCTTAGGGTTCAGCAACCCACACCTGTAGCGTCAAGGCACTAATCCATTACAAAAGACTCTATCAAATCTTGCCGACACCTCGTGAAGACGAAGTCACTTAGCAGTTGTACCGGAGATCATGGAGAAAGGCTAGGAACTACCCAAACGTTCTTGTGAAACATTAAAGGCTTGATAGAGATCCAAGTCACTTCGCAGTTGTAGCTGAAGACCGTCGGTTAGGGTTTAGGGTTTAGGGTTTAGGGTTTAGGGTTTAGAGATCCAAGTCACTTCGCAGTTGTAGCTGAAGACCGTCGGGTAGCTCACAAAGACTTTGGTGATCTGCGCGGCGCTGAGACCTATCAAGATGCCGCCCGTGGCTTCCGTCGAACATACCCAGAGACTCCAACAAACCTAAACTGAGGGGTACGTGTGACTTAAGGTATATTCCTTTCTTATGAAGGAATACACCTTAAATCCTACTTATTCCTTGATTTAAGTGTTTTTAAGTCTCTGGTTGCACAGGCTAGTTGAAGCAGGGTGTTAATAACAGGAGGTTTTGAGGGTGTTCGTGACGCTTTCGCAAGAATTTGTGACCGTGAAACTGACCCTGAATGCGTAGTCTGGGTGTTACTCTGGATGGAACTGTATAGATACCCGAAACCATAAATTCCGAAATCCCCCTAAACCCTTCCCTCACATGAGGTTTCGGAATCGAGGCTGGCATCTGTCTAAGGTTTTAAGTATGGGCCCCTAATATGGACCCTTAGGGGATTCTAGGCACCTTTAAGGGTATATATGGGGTACATAGTAGGTATATAAGGATTCCAGGCTTAAGGGCCCATATTAGGGGCCCATGGTTTCAAACTTAGAATCTGCCTGCTTCATGAAGGCCGGCTGCCCAGGGTTTCATGCTCGCCTGGCTTCTTGAAGGGCGTCGGGGTCTTTGGGGCTGTGGGGTTCAGGATTCAGGCTTCGGATTTAGGGCTTCTGGGGTTTAGGCTTTGGGGTGTAGGGTTCAGGATATCTATTTTTTGCTGCGGATTCAGGGTTTGGGGGTTTCGGATTCAGGGTTTAGAGATCACCTGGCTGGTTGATGGGCTTGGGATCTGCTCGACATGATGCATAGCTCTTCGCCTTGCAGCGAAACCCTTTGGGCATATTCCTCGGTCGTTAGGATAGGGAAAATTTAGTGACCCTAAACCCTAAACCCTATCTTAGTGACTATGAAGGAAGACATCTATCATGAAAGCCGACACCCGATTCATGAGCCCCACACCCCGAAGTCACAGTCTTCAACCCCGGCCACCCCCACTGTCCCAGTAAACTCAACAAGAGGTTACTAGCCTTAGGGTTGAGAATCGAACATTACTTGCATGGTCTGATGTAACTCAGTAGCCGATTATCGAGGTAATTGGAGCCTTCGCAGCAAGCCCTACGACATAGTAGGTTATGGCCCTTGAACTCTAGGGTGCAGGCTCAGCAAGTCAACCGGCGTCAATGGCAGCAAACAACTCATCTGGATTTGCCGGTCTCTCCTAGCAACCCCAATGAGGACATCGCAATCTGCGGACATAGGTATAACGAAAGAACTGTCTCGGATTGCAGCAACGAAGCAATCCCTAAACCCACAACAGTTCTTGAAGCCCGTGAATAAGACCATCTTAAGTAGAGGTACGTGCTGCAGAGCTTTCGTGCGGACGTCTGTTGAGGAAACTAGAAGACACAACATACACATGCTTGCAAAATATGCTTACACAGCACGAACATGAACGAACTCAAGCCAAACAAACACAAACGGCTAGGTGGACAAACCTGCACACACACACACACACGGATACCTCTGCAACTTGTTCAAAGCGTGTACGTATACACCTACATACATACCTGCGTAAAAAGGAAATCCTACCCAATCATGCATGCATCACTTCATGTCCATGCTCATGTCCTTTTCCATTGCATTGCATTCCGCTTCGACTCGATTCGTTTGTTTCCATTCATGTTACCTATTTTCTTTACATTCATTCATGAACTCATTCACGCCATGTCCTTCCTTGCCGTGCCACGTATCCATCCATTCATGAATCTGGTCCTGTCCATGCCGCTTATTCCATTCGTTCAAACCCTTCCGCTCTTTCCATTTCACGGCAGTACAGTGCTTTCCGTTTCAACTCATCATATCATGTCTTCAGTCTTTTTACACATGGATGAATATGTACGCAAGCTTCATGTATGCTCACGAATTATTCACACTTCACTGCCAGCATGGACTTGACCGGGAGCTGCTGGAAGAACCTTAACCCGAATTCAATCGCATCACGCCAACATGACGCCAACCTTTCGCTGCGTGTGTCAAACCTCCAACGGAATCGCGAGCCCTTGCGCGATCCAATGAAGCCCGAACCCACATCCCTGGTAACCCACATCCCTGGTTAAGACTAAATGTCCCTAAACCTCTAAGCCACAAAACTCAAAACCCTGGGGCACCGCGAGGTTGTAGTCGAAGATCCGAGGGAAGCGGCTGATCATGCGCACGATGTTGGATTGATCTACACCCTGCTCCCTGGGCTGCCGCTACATCGTTGGCCGGTTCAGGCTTTAGGGTTTAGGGCTTCGTTGTTGCCGGATATCAGTAAAACCTAAAACCTAAAGCCTAAACCCTAAGATATCAGCCTAGGCCGGTCGGAGTGCAGATGTAAAGGAGTGCTTAAGATATGCAGATTCTCACCCCTTAAACATGGGCCCCAAGCCCTACGCCGCAAAAGCCCTACTAAAACCCCCAGGCCCTCAACCCTGAAATGGTCCATAGGCACCATGGAAACTGTAGAAGCCCCGGGAAACCTTACGACAAAAAGCCCTGTGACTTCCAGTGGCCCCTGTTTAGGATTTAGGGTTTGGGGTTTAGGGCTTAGAGCCCGGATTCGGTAGTATGAAGTTGATGGCTTCTAGGCTTTGGGGCTTCGGTCTTGGACTTTGGGGTCCAGGGCTCGTTTGTACCTCGGGCTTGGCATTTCAGGCTGAGGCTACAGCGTTTAGGCTTCCGGCTTGAGTATAGGTTTTTTGCCTCCTACTTAGCATAAGGGTTTAGGGTTTAGGTCTTAACAAGGCTCCCTAAACCCTAAACCCTAAACCATATAACCCTAAACCCTAATCCCTAAAAGCCTTGCAAGGCTTGCAGTCAAGGTGTGCAAGCCCTGCCTTAGCATTTGATTGCCTTCAGTGCGTTTCAGCAACATTTTTCCAATCACTAAACCATCTTAAACCATTCAAAAACTTTAACCCCTGCCCCAATCAGAAGTCATAAACGCCTAAACTCCTGCACCCCAAAACAAGCCGAAGCCCCTAAACCCTAAACCCTAAACCCAAACAAATGGAACCCTTACGGCAACCCTTTCTTACAACCTTTTTGAGGCCAAGGAGCCGGAAGAAATCGACCTTGGAGGGTGTTGCTTCTTCGAGTTGCAGGGTTCAGGGTTTGGGTTTTTTGTTGCTTCTTCGAGTTGCAGGGGTTTTCAGGGTTGAGGGAATAAGGGCTTAAGTGTTGAGGGCATAGGTTGTGTTGGAATTTCTGGCTTGGGGAGTTGATAAGATTTATGTGGATGGGGTTAGAGTTAGAGTGCTTAAGGCCTTCAGGCATTGCATTGGTGTGTATTATAAGATTCAACCTGCATTGGGCGCATTCCCTGCTTCAGCAGATTCGGCCGTCTGCAGAGGAAGGGTGGGCTCAGAGCTGAGGGTTAAGGTAAACTTTGATATAGTTTAGGGTTTGAGGATCTAAGCAGAGATTTGGGGATATCTTGCTCCTTTGCCTGCCGCCTGGCTCAGTTCGAGGATTGCGCTTGGAGGTTTACTATATCCGAAATCACAACCACCAGTCAGGACGGATGCATCTACCCTTAACCCCCCGATCTCACTATATGGCACTAGATGTTAAATCCCTGTAAACACAAACCCGTTTAGAAACAAAAAACGAGCCCTTCAAAGGAACCTAAAAAAATTCTCGGAAAAACCCCCAAGCACAGCCGAGCAACTGTCGGCTGCATCTTCTCGTTGATATTCAACGTGAGCAAACGCGGGTGCGAGGCCAACACTTTCCTAACCTCCTCCTGGCTGAGGCCAACCTCGATATAGGGTTGGTTTAGGGTTTAGGTTTTAGGGCCAGGGTCAAACTGACTGGCTGGAATACCGGGGTTTAAATATTAGCCATAATCTTCCCCCCTATATGGTCACCGAATAATACTACTATAACATTTCTAACCTATAAACCCTAATTGCATGCTGAATACTGCTGTCTGCTAATATAGAACTTATACCCAAAACCCTGATTGAGTATCAGCCCACTAGGTTTGAAAACAGGCTCGAACAGGGTCGGGCTGAGGGGTTAGGATTTTAGTGTTTGGAGTTTAGGGCTTAAAGCTATCGGGGCTTAAGGGTAAAGCTTCGCCTAGAGTAACCTCCATCCTTGAGAGGAGATGACCCAAAACAGTAACATGCTCCTCCTTTGTTGAAAGGCACCTCGGCTCGCTCTATCTCTCTCTCTCTATGTTTCTTTATTGCCCTGTCTCTCCTCTTTTCTCTTTGTGTTGTTAGTTCTCTCTCTCTCTCTCTCTCTCCCTCTCTCTTCAATAGCCGAGCATGGCAACGTTGCTTGTGTTTTCAAACATATGGCCAGCATATGCAACTTCAAAGGCTCAGAACATTTCCCAACAGGGGTTATAGCTTATGTAAAACTTGAACCTACTGATGTTTTGTTTCTGGGTGCCTTCATTCCCAGGCTGTAGGGTCCATGCACAGCAAATCTGTAATCTTCGGCAAACAGCAGAATCAAGTCCGGAAGAAGATGAATGCTTAAGGATCCAACGATGCACATATTCCGACTGCCAACAGGCGGCACAAGGGGAATCGTAGTGATACGAACAGCCCCACCAAGTGTCTGCTTGCCGATGCAGATTGAACTTGATATCTTTTGGGGGACAGAAATACTGTAAATGTTAAACACATAAGCCCTAAACCCGAGTGAATGTGTATGATGGATCTCGAACAGACCTGAGCTTGGAGAATCGTGAATAACGAAGTCTAGTTGTGGTACAAAAACATGAGTATAGCTACACAGGTATGTATGTATGTATGTATGTATGTATGTATGTATGTATGTGCAAAGTACTGAAGTACTGAACATGCAAGAAAGATGTGAATGTGTGTGTGTATATAAATATATAAGTGTGCGTGTGTGCATGCATGCACATGCATGCATGTAAGTAGGTATGTATGTATATGTATGTACATATATATATACACATGTGTGTATGTATGTATGTATGTATGTATGTATGTATGTATGTATGTATGTATGTATGTATGTATGTATGTATGTGTGTGTGTCTGTCTGTCTGTCTGTCTGTCTGTCTGTCTGTCTGTCTGTCTGTCTGTCTGTCTGTCTCTGTCCGTCTGTCTGTCTGTCTGTATGTATGTATGTATGTATGTATCTAAAGAAGTGTGTGTATGTATGTGAGAATGTATGTATGCATGCATGCATGTATGCATGTATGTACGCAGGTATGTGTGTATGTACCTATGATATGTTTATGTTTGTTTGTTTGCGACCACGTATGCATGTTCGCTTGCTTGTACAAAATTGTATGTATGTATGTATGTATGTATGTACGTACGTATGTATGTATGTGTGTGCATATTAAGTGCGTAGTTCTAGACCTGCTACAGATTTGAAACACACGCTTGAAATTTTACGAGGACCTAAAAGCTGTTTCGAGGGTGTCAGTCATCGTCGACAGCGAATAGTGCTTGAACACGTCAACGACCATCAGTTGCAGGACTGACTGCTACAAACAAGCCGGAGTTCTGAACGAATAAACGGAACCTCCTTAGTACACGTGCACAGTGACTGATCATGAACTGGGGGTTTCCGAAAATTAGGGTACCTTATTTTGGGGTCCTTATAATAAGGATCCTATTATTTAGGGTACTATATTAGGGTCCCCTATTTTCGGAAACTCCCAACTCCCTAACAGGCAATGCCAAAACATGCGACCCCGAAGCTGCCAGCAACTACACCTTATACCCTTGTCCCTAAATCCTAAACCCCTAACCCTAAAGCCAAACCGCAAGAGGCAAAAATGAAGGATTTATTTTTTACAGAAAATGAAGAATGTATAAATATACCAAGAAAACTAAATTATAAGACCCTGACTCCATCTGACTCCTAAACAACTACTCGCCAAAGAACAGGACCCTACCTCAAACCTTAAACTGTAAACCCTGAGCCTAAACCCAACCCTACACACTAATCTCTCCGCAACCTCAAACCCCATACGTTATACGTCCTTAAGCCCGTACGCTCAAAAGAAGAAGTGAACAAAAGACGCCGTGCGACGGCGGAAAGGAACTCCTGGTACCTGGTGAAGTGCTAAGGCAATGATGAAATAGCTTTAAGGGTTCTACGTTTTAGGGTGTGAGGCTCCTTCAGGGGCTCTATACGAGTTCTGTATTAGCATTCTAGGGTTTGCACTCTCGCAACTCGGACGACCCATTTGAGGTCTCACGGCACATCACGGCACCATAGGGTCTTATGACTAACAAGAGGGCCTCAAGACTTTGAATGTGTTTCCTTCCAAGGGTTTTTGTACAGGTTCTTTAAGGGGTTGCTATAAGGATGCAATATAGCGGCCTTGGTTATAAGTTGCTATGTATATGTATATGTATATGTATAGATATATATATATATATGTACATATATATATATAAGCAGAGTACATTAATGCCCGTATGAGGATTTAGTATATACCGGGGCTTAATGATTAGAATAGGGTTTCGGGGGTATAGTACACTATAGTATAATACTACAACTCCATTTAAAAATCGCAAGGAGCAGCAGGGAATAGGGAAACTAAATACTCCGACGCGCTTCTGACCAATGAAGACCCGAAAGCCCACCGATACGCTGCAAGCACATGGGTAGTTTTCTAAATTAGGATCCCGTTCAGGGTCCGTTTTATAAGGGTGCCGTGCCATATTGGGAACCTAAAAGGGGGCCCTAATTTAGAGAACTACCCACATGCAAGAACATCGAAGCCCTAAGCCGGAAAACATACTTGACCTCTTTCGTGAACCGACACAACAAGCTAACTCCCGAGTTCTAAACTAGGAAGTTCTATCCGCCTAAGAAGATCCGCTGTCAAAGTGAAAAACAAAAAACCAGAAATGGTAAAGGTTTTAGGGTTTAAATAACGTAAAAAATCGATCCTTCTTGCCAGAACACCCCCGAATCATAAAGATACTCCCAGCAAAATGCGAGCGTTCCATACATTGAGTGCCCCTACTGAGGAGTCCTACATTGTGATTCTACATATGTCTAGTGTGTATTAGGGCCCTAAACCCTAAACCATAAACCACATGTCCTGAAACTCGCGAATGTCTGTAGCAGCCTTAACTCCTTTTTCAACACAGTCTGGAAACCAGAAACAATAAACCCCAACACATAGACATAAACCATAAGCCAAGAAATTCTAAACCCCGACACCGATCCCTGATAGAACCAACCCTTAACAGAACCTTCAAAAACAAACCTGATTCAAAAACGGCTTCTCAAGTGCGTACAAGACTCGGCTTGACTGAGAAAGCCGATGCGAGATTCTTGCCCGAGGGCCACCTTGGGTATTTTCTTAGTCTTTAATTACGTCTATAGGGTTATACTTGAAATGCGGGTTTAGGGCTTGGGGAGCAGTTACATCCCCTTCAGAACCCCTTCAAGCGTTCTAGAATTCTAGAAGGGCCATAAACCCGAAACCAATCCCTCACAGCAGAAAGCTCTGTAAAAGTCAATGCCACAGCGGCTTTTCGATGGTGCTGGCCACCTGGTCTTGACTGAGACCAAGCCTGAGTAGGAGCATTTAAGTACGTAGTTCAGATTTTGCAAAGTTTATAGGTTGTGGCTTGAGAAGGCATAAATCCTGGGGTGTCCACGGAGTTCGGCGCGTAATGTAGGGGCCTTAATAATTAGAATAGGGTTTTGTGGTATATCATGCTATGACTGTAGTACGGAACCCCCAAGATAGTATAGGTATTATTAAGTTAGGCCCCTATATTCAAAGCGATTTGGGGGCCTCAATTCTGGAACCAGGGTGGAAAATGGACGTTTTCGGATTCGGGAGGACGTGGGTATTTCTCTAAATTAGGGTTTGTTTGCGGGCCCTGTTTATGAGGGTGCCGTACTATCTTGGGGACCTAAAAGGGATCCTAATTTGGAGAGCTACCCACACCAAATCATGAGCTTTGCGGACGTGTTAAATAAGCGCGGCATAGACGGGTCTTATCAATACTGTTGATGATATAAATCCCCTAAACTCTGGGGATTATGGCATATATTCCTTATTATGGGT